CGGGGGCAAGGACCTTCTGCTCATGAACGGTTCCAGCTCCTCGCCCTGGGCTCTCGCCATGGACACCATGAAAACCACCTACATCGTGCTGGAACTGATCATCGCCGTGCTGTCCATCGCCGGGAACGTGCTGGTGTGCTGGGCCGTGGCCATCAACAGTACCTTGAAGAACGCAACCAACTATTTCCTGGTGTCCCTGGCCGTGGCTGATATCGCCGTGGGTTTGTTAGCCATCCCTTTCGCCATCACCATCAGCATCGGGTTCCAGGTGGATTTTCACAGCTGCCTCTTCTTCGCCTGCTTCGTGCTGGTGCTGACCCAAAGCTCCATTTTCAGCTTGCTGGCGGTGGCCATCGACAGGTACCTGGCTATTAAGATCCCACTGAGGTAAGAAACCGGAGCGGACACACTACGTTCTCTGACAACCCAGACTGTCGCCTTCCTTGCGTTAGCGTGCGGGAACTTCTCGTCTCTAGTGTTGCTGTAAGAGGTTTGCTGCTCACGGGTGATGATGAAAATACCGGAGATCTCACACTCGCTGAAGGACGGGGTCAGGTTTTCAAGATCCTGCCTCTTACTTCGAAGCATACCTGGGAGCTCAGTTTCTCAAGGATGTTTGTCTTGGGATGGTCAGTGACTTCTTGGGGGGGGGCTACTCAGAGGGGTGGTAGTGTGCTTGGGGTACTCGTAGCTAATCTATGGAGGTATTTACACAGCCCCCATTGTTGTTGGGTCTGAGCATCTCCCAGGCAATTAACTCTAGGAGCAACCACTCTTTCTTCTCCTCCCCAGCCTATTAGAGAAGTAATTTTGCAGGCTGCTCTGTAAGAGCTCTTGTCTTTTCCTGAGCTCAGGACACAATACTTTCAGAAAGGCTGAAAGTAATTTTAACTAGATTTAATATCACTTTGTACGTACTCCACCTTTTCATCTAGGACTAGAGCCTAACTAGGCTATCTTCCAGTTTTTAGAGGGTTATAATGGATGGACTGGAAGCTGAAACGCTGAAGCTGTATTTCTGTGCTTGTGTACAAACCTCCTTCTGAGTGCTTCCCATAAGAGAGCGCGTAGATCAGCAAACGTCAGGTGTCAGCTCTGTACATACACTGTGAAAGGAGAAGAGGGAAGGAGAAATGATTCATACCTCAGTTTTCAGAATGTTACAGTTTAAACTTTCATCCAAGGGCAGTACCAAAGACATAATTTGGTTTCCTTCTAATTAATGGGATATTGCAAAATACTGGGGGAAAACGTATTGAATATATTTCACAGGCACTTCACCGGTGAGTCGGTGCAGCACATTCTTTAAGCTTAAGTGCACCAAACCCCCGGCTTTGCGTTACAAATGACCTGAGTCTGTTCCTCTCCGTCACGTCTCTGTTGTCCCTCCGAGAGGATAAGACATGGATGGAGCCCCAGGGAGCCCAGCGCTGCTCTGGGGACTGGTCCCAAGTGGAGGCAGTGGGCAGATCTGGTGTAGGGACCTCAGCTGAACTCTGTAAGCTGCAGCTTTCCTATGAGAGATTCTGCTCAGCTCTGGTATCTCCCTTCCACAAGCGATAAATTCACCCTAAAATTACTTAAAAAAAACCCAAAACTTCACCCTATTCCGGCACCTTGCATCAGAGAACTCCCATACGTTGGGCAAATGTTAATTAGTCATCAGGCAAATGATAAAAACCAGTAGTGGTAATGTACATACACTGAGCGGCCGTGTGTGTCATCGGAGCACGGTGCACGGAAATTCCGCGGGACGTAGGGTAAGCGAGAGCGGAGCTGCAGCCCCGTCTGCACAGGCGGGAGCGGGGGCAGAGCGGGTCAGGCTGCTGCCAGCACCTCTGACACCGAGTGCAGACCTTCCTGGCCACCCGGCCGGCCCTGGAGATGCACGTTGGCTCTGGATAATGCTTCCGTGCCTCTTCCATGCGTTCATTCAGGGCTCTCTCGGGATGGGGGCTGATGGCACGGCAGCAGCTCTGGAAGCAGGTGGGATTTTTGAAGTTTCAGTTTAATCACATCACCCACCACACGCACGCTGTGCAGGCACGGGCTGGTGGTGGGAACTCTTTTCCTTTGCGCCACGAGTGCTTTTTGCAGTGCTCGGAGCTGAGTGTTGTGAGCGGGTTTCTGCTCCGCGGGAATCCCAGCCGAGAGCAGCAGATCCGAAATGCTCGGAGGGGGTCGTTTACATGTCTGCGGGAGGAAGTGGTTTTGCTAACTGACAAAAGAGCAAGTGTTTCCTCCACGCTTTCTTTTTAGCAACCCTGGTCTCTAGCAGGTTTGCTCAACTCTCCATGAGGAGGGTTCATACACCTGTGGGATGAAACCCAGGGTGGTTTTGCCTCGCTTCAGGATCCTTTCCCAGCGTTGCTTTCTCACCCTATCTCAGGCCAAATCTTTTATTCCATTTGCACAAACATCTTTATCCCTATGAGTGCTTCCTATTTGCATGCATCCGGCCCCTTCAGCTGTAAATGGAGATCCGGGAGTCCCGTCCTCGTCTGGCCTGAAGCGTGAAGTTTGGATTAAACTTGGTCTTGGTGCTGAAACCCGTTTCCTTGCTCTCAGAGGTGACCAGCAAGTGAAACCCCTTCAGAAGGACAGGAGTTCCTCTGTGCTGGGAGCGCAGGGCAATGGACAGGTCATTGCTTCGGCAACAGGAGATTTAGGGACTGGTACTGAAAAGCTGTTTTTATTTGTACAGCCAAGATCAAAAGAGGACAGAGGAGGTTATAAAACTACGCTGGCAAAACTCTTCTCTCCTGCATTGGGGTTTTCCAGCCAAGGCTCAGTTCGAGCCATCTCCTCAGCATCGCTGCTCCCGAGATGCTCCACGGTGCTGCCGGCAGCGAGGGGCGAGGACCTCATCCAGCCCCTGCTCCAGGGAGATGCACGCACTGGGTCTGGAGGGGGGTTTGTGCTGCGGAAAGGGAAATCTGGTCATCGATTTGTAGGAATGATGAGTTTACGAAAAGCTTCTTTCTCACTAAAACACTCCTTCTGGAGACCAGTGCAGAGGCTGATAACAGGCCATGAAGTATTAAATGTTGATAAAATGGTCTGTACCCAGTCCCATCCAGCGATCACCATAAATAACGCAGTTGTTGCAGAGCAGGCGAGTGTCCCTGTCGCGTCCACCAGCTCCCTGTAGAAACCTCTGCAGGGACACTGAGAACTGAGCGGGCCCTATGATTTAATACTATTTTGGGCTATTTAAGCACACGGAGAGGTTGGGCAGGCTGGGGGTGAGCGGGAGAAGTTTGCATTGCAGCCAGGCTAGTAATGGATTTTTCAGTTCTGTGGCTGAACCAAAAAATCCCCTGGGGAAGAGGAAAATTGTTTCAGCCAAACTGAAGCAGTGATGTTGGGAGGTTTCAGTGAAACAAAGTGATCCTGACCAAGCTGGCAGAATTTTCTTTGAGTTGATTAACTCTCCTGACATTGCTGTGCTGCTTTTTGCAATGGAGGCATCCTCGCTGGAAAGGAACTAACAAACTCTTACCTAGACAACTGCAAAACAAAAATCTCATGAAATTTAAAAATGATGCTTTAGAACCCTCCCTCTTCAAGCTAAAAATACTTGCTGAATTTGACCTGAAGCCATGAATTCTTTCTGTCTCTTGAAACTCTTATTTTGTTTGTTTGTTTTTGACAAATCCCCTGTCTATGGAGAAGCCCCCACCCCGCTGCCCTGTTCCTGCAGCTGCAGCCCTGAGCCCTTCCTGGGTCCCTTCTCCCCCGGCCGGCACACCAGGACAATGGCTTCTTGGCTTCAAATCGCTCTGATCCGACCTTGCTTCCCGCACCCCTCCTGCACCCCGCTGCTCCTGACCAGCGCTGCTGCCTGCGGGTGCCCGTCCCCGTGCCACCCCATCCCCGTGCTGCCCCGTCCCTGGGCACTGTCCCTGGGCACTGTCCCCGCTCTCCTCTGCCAGCCTGACCTGCTCCCCCCAAAAGCTCGCTCCCCTGCGGCGTTTCCTGCGAGCAGGATGTCAAAGCCAGGCAACGGAGCATCTTTCAGCAGCAGTAAATCCATCCTGAGCAGGGTTTGGCACAGGAGCGGTGCTCGGCTTTCGCTCTCTGGCTTTCTCCGGGGCTGGATTTCACCCCACATCCCATAGCTGCGAGCCAAAGAAGATTTGTAGGTGGAATCAAATCTTTCCCTTTTATTTGCATTAACCAAAACCCTCTGGCATGGCTAATAATTGTAGGTACGGACAGAAGCCTGGAACAAATGTGTCAGGAATTAGGGAAGGAGAAAAGTGTCTGTATCTAGAGAGCAAAAGGAGAATAAAACGCCCTACAACATCACAATATGTGTACCCTCGTCCTCCTGGTAATCTCCTGCAGAACAATGAACGTTGTGCTGCTGCCTGCCCGGCAAACACCCCAGTGAGCCCCGCGGAGGGAACATGAGCCCCAGCTCCTGCGATCTGAGCTGCTCTGGGGCTTGTTCTTCCTCCCTGGATTTAGTTCTGTCCCACCTTCAATTTTATCCCTAGCACAAGGGCAAGACTGATGTTTCTGGGCAGCTTTGCCATGAACCAGAACAGGCTCTCCACCACCGCACCCTCTCCCTTTCTGCACCCCGCAGACCCCTCGCTGCCCCGCTGCCGTCGGAGCATCCGTGGCCGGGTGACGGTCTGCCAGCGGCGCTGCCCTGCGCTGCTCCTGCTGCTGCCAGCCTCCCCTGGGAGCTGCTGCCCGCTCATCCTTGACATGATGGAGGCAACAGTCCGGCTCATTGCTGCTCTGCTCATGGGGACAAATTCCCTCGGGATTGTTGTTGCTCTCAGCCGATCCTTTCAGCTGCACCGTGTCCTTTCCTGGGGTGGGCTGGCTGATGCTTTTCGGCTGCCTGCCCTGCAGCGGAGGGGGTTCCCTCTTCTCCAGCAAAGAAGTGTTCCTCCGTTCCTCTCAACTCCCAGCGTTTTCCTCAGCAAAGCAAACTGGTGGGTACTGGCAGTGGGTGGGAGGGCTGGAGCCACTGGGGAGGTGAGAAAATCCTCTTCAGGGCCTTGCTCATCACCTGCCATCTTCTGCGTGCCACCGATGGCGCAGAATTGCAGCTGCTCTTCCTCCTCCTGCCCTTGCTTCATTTCCTTTCTGAAGGGAAATTCTCGCCTTGCCCTCCATCTGAACTCCAGGCGTGTTCTGCTGTCCATGCGCCGCTCACACGCGGTGCCCGAGCCCCAGACCCGGGAGGCGTCGCTATTCCCGAGCGGTGGATGCTCTGCCTCCCGGGTGCATCAGGGGCTGCGCCTGGCCGAGGTTGTCATCGGTGGATAAATCCACGTGCAGCAAACCTGGCAAACGTGCCGAGCGTGTGTTTGCTTGAGCAACGGAGCTGTCACGTCTTTAAGGAGTTCGTGTCAGTGGAGCTGGAC